ACACACACACACACACACACACACACACACACACACACACACACACAGAATTGGTTAACCAATCAGAATGTAAAGCATGGACAACATGGAGGCTGGGTAGGGTACTTTGGTGTCATACAGAGCAACAGGTGAACAGGAACCCCACTGAGGTGTGTCTGTGTGCGTGTGCGTGTGCGTCTGTGTGTACAAGAGGATATTTACAGTGGATGATCTTCCTTAATTTTTCTCCATTTACCCAAATGCATGACTACCTGATTAACAGCAAAGACCATGCAGAAACATATGCACAGCAGTCGTTTTATGTTTTACTCTTAGTGTACACAATGCTAATTTGTTGATCATATGAAATGGGCTATTTTTTTTTTTTTAAACAATCAAACCATTCTTTTTTTTTTTTTTTTATATATAAGCACATATGACACCATAGTAGAAACAAAACGGCAGATAACTTCGTGTGCACACAAGACAATGAGCACAGCCTGCTCTACTCATGTCGAGAATGAAGACTGCACCATGAAACAGTGTCATGGTGATCATTGCTCTTATCTTAATCAGCGGGGTGGTTTTGTGTGAAGTCAACTCTCACTTTCTTCTGTTTAAACCATGAGAATAAACCAATAACCCGCACTGACACAAAGACACGCAAGCTCAATGAAAGTAACCTCAGCTACTTTACGGGGGAAATGGTGCCGACCAATGCCCATCAAGAAAGTATATAAACACGGTAAGCTGGTGAGTGACTGAAGGTTATATTTGTGTGTATCAAAACAAGGGACAAAAAAATATATGCAGCCAGTCCTCGAGACAGGTGCACATAGCGGACGCAGCGAAAGCGCAGTTTCCAAAATAACAGTGAGCGCCCCGCGCTACGCAAGTTTACACTCTCCTTTATTATGCTATATTGGTGTATTAGAGCATATGTAAGTAAAAAAAACATCTGCGTCTGTGTGGCTGGCTGTGGTGAGGGTCACCGGAACCTGAGACGGCTCAGAAAAGGGTCACTTTTGGGGAGTCAAGTGCAATAAAATAGAAATATTTTCAAAATGTTTCCTAAATTGTATTTAGAACGTGTTGCATTAAATTCAATTCCCTTGACTATTTTTAGGCAGACTTATATAGGCGCCATGCTGCATTGTGTTTGATTTTGTATTTATTAAAAGCTCCTATTAAAAAACAATGTCTTGCGCACAGCGTGGCACGCGCCTGTCCACTCGCCCTAATGTTATTAATCCGCGCGCACGTGTGTGTGTGTGTGTGTGTGTGTGTGTGCGCGCGTGAGAGAGAGAGAGCGAGAGGGAGAGAGAGAGAGACCCCTTTCTCTCTCTCACCACTGACAGCAGCGCGAGGAGCGCACATGCCAGATGACCACCACCTGTCATAAGCGCGCGAGCGAGACACCCACACCACTATACTCAGCTTTAATGCCAAGAGAACAAAAACGGTGCACAGACTCCAAAAAGAGCTTAAACCAGAAAATAAAACACATACTGTGTCAATAAGATGCACCTCAACTCACTCCATATCCAACACACATGATCATGCGTAATGTATAACACATACAAGTTAAAGATGATGTAAATTAAAGTAATTGGTGTGTTTGAGCTTACCTGTTTCTCGGCCGTCGAGTCATGTTAATATCTGTGGAGCGGCTCGCAGGTTGCGCTGTACTTTCGCTATCCGCGCTGGACTTGTTCTCCCGGCGGAGAGGCAGGTTGACATTAATTTAAACTGCAGCAGCTTTTACTACTGCTCCTCCCCTTTCTTCGCATCCCGGTACATTTGGCGCTCCTGAGCGCTGCCGACTGCGCATGTCCATGATGGTGTACTTCACGCACCGTCCTACGTTTTGCAATCACTGTTTCAACAAACACGGGGGAAAGTCAGAAATGTTGTTGATATCGAAGAAAGCAATTACAATTAAATAATTTATTTCGAGAAATAAAATATCAAGCTGTGCCTTTTTTGCTGGGGAAATAAAACACCTTTTAGCAAACTAATACGCCTGATCTACAGCATTATAGTGCATAATACAAATGCCATGATCGAAGTGTGGCTGAATAATATACCACAAATAAAAATAATGGGTAAATTGAGTATTGGTAGCATATTACCTACCTCCATAGCATACCTCAAGGACTACATTGGGACCTCAAACATTGCTACATCGAAATGTCCGATGTGTTCCTGAATGCACCACAGCACTTCACAGTGGACTTGTCAAAGGCGCGTTTCGCCTGGCCGTCCGCGCTAAATGCTTTCTGTCAACAATGTTCTGTGAGTTACTTCTCTTCTGCTGAAAAGGAGAAGGAAACTAATACATCTGGACGGCGTAAACAATTGCGGAATGGGTCTCTGGCATGCTTGGAAAGTGAAGTTGTGATGTTTTCTGTGCTTTGTGCTTGCTTGTTGCAAAAAAACAGATGTTTCTCAGTGATAAAAAAAACAAAAAAAACATGCAATACCATGGTCTTGTCATCCGGCAATAAAATGAGCTTTTGTGCTCGCTCAGACAAAGAAAAGTTTAAATAATGTGGTGTAGTGGCAGTTGGATAGATTTACTGCACATGAAGAACAATTTCCTTTAAAGCACACATGATTGACTTATTTATGTTATCCGAGTTGTTCCTCAAGTTGCCTCTTAAGTTTCCCAAACGGCAGCCTGTTAATTCTGTCTTTGTATTTATTAAAAATTATCCAAATAAAAATTAGGAACAAGTTGAGCCTGTTTTTACGAGTTATATACTCCTTTATTGCATGTATTATTCTGTGTTAATGCTGGCCACTTTTATGATTATCTTGTTTTGGTTGAGTTGTCCATCCTGGGGGGGTGGGGGGGGGGATGCTTTATTTGTATAAATGTGTCTTCTCATTGTATTAGTTCCTCCATACGCGACAGTATTGTCCTGGTCACTTGTAATTACCATCACCCCAGACTAGCCTATTGTGCCAGGGCGGTCATCATAATAGTGGACTGATAAAGGGCACACTCAAACACACATGGCCATGGACTGCAAATTTTACTATTTGATGCAACAGGGTGGACAGTGCTCAGTGAAGTGAAGCACTTAGGCTGTGGAGAGAGGGACATTTTGAGATTTACTGGACATGGATTAAATGAAGTATAGTCCACAGCATGGAAGATATTTCTGAGATTGTTTTGTGTGTATTATTATTCATACGTATTGATGAACTGTGTTGTTTCAGAATCAACATGCAACATTAAAAACATACTATAAGTGCCACTGATGCCAGTGCTAGTGAAATAATAGATTGCATGGTTGCCTGGGTATCATTGCTAATAGACTTGAAATCCCATACACACCTGTGTGCATAAGCATTGTTCAGTCATGTTTGCCTTGAAGAGGTGGTACTTCTAATCTATTCAAATCATATTTTAATTATACAGCAGCTACCGTGCAAGATTGCAATACAAGATGCCTCACATAGAAAAAAAAAGTGGGCCAGTAAAAAAGATACAGCACAAAAACTAACTTAAACACCAGTAATAACCAGTGTCAGAGTCCAACCATACTTCATATACAAACAATTATGTAAATTAAATTCTGTCTCCACTAGTTTTATTTGTGTGTATATCTGTAAGTATGTGTCTTTTCCCTCGAGGGTCATATCGAAAACTTCATCTTGTCATCTGAAACCAAATTGAAGGAAGGGAGGTATGCAAATTCACCTATAGTAGTTTGAGCAGGAAGCCTGAGACCCATTGACTCCAAGCTGAGGACATTTGCATTGGCGCGATTGGACAGGTTAAGGGCAGGTATTGTGATGGTCGCCCCCTCTTGCAAAGCATTGTGTGCACAGGTTAGCTCATTTGAATGATTTTTAATGATGGCCCCTAAGCATGAGATATCATCCCACCAGGCTTTCAGATCCAGTGTTGGGAAGGCCAAACATGGGTATTGTTGATTGTCTGTGTGTCAATGTGCATGTAAAGGCCTGCTTTGGTGAAAGGTTGATCCCTAGTCAAACAGTGAATGTGATCCTGAATGGCAACCTATACATGTTGACTAATTGCTGTTGGATGTATATAAACATACAAATGATTTCTACGTTATAGCATTTTTCTGCAGTACATTGAAATCCAGCAATCATTATTCTGGAAAATGTTTTAAAGAATATTTTATTACACCTACTTAATGAATGCTATGGAAATAGTCAATCAAATGTAAAAGTTATTATTTTTTTTAGAATAAATAACTATTGCTTTTAATCTGGTTTAGGAATCATTGACTTATCATTTCACAATTTGCTACTTTATGGACCTCACATGTGTTTCTTTCCTGACTTTAGCTGTTTGGACCACCTGTCAAAGACTGCCAAAGGTGGAGGTTTTGCATTTTCCCCAGGGGTGAGTTCCTGTGAAAGACTCTTCCCATGATACCTTGTGCCCTTGGCAAATTATGTAAAGCATTACCTCATACCCATTGCCAACTTTTGGGATGGACTTCACCCCTCACCCACTTGCACATAAGCTCTGCCTTGTACAATTACACCATGGTTTAATCTGTTTTCAGATTTGCATGCTGTTGTTAATATATTTGCAATCCTTGCTTTCACTTGATTCCATAGATACCATTGCAATCCACTTGTCAACAACCATTTTGCGAATCACTTAGAATTGAATATAATTCAGTTACAGAGAAAAATATGATGGATGCAAACCATAAAGTTTATTGGTCATTCAACAATATAATTTCAAAATCTTTTAAACAAAGCACTGATCCGCTCATTCCTCTAACAATCTGTCCATCCATCTGTTTAATTAATCCATGTAATCAGCCCAACACTTCATTGGTTATGCTTTCCGTGAACTCTGTGGCCACATCGGCAGCACAGATTTGACCAGAGAGTGCTTAGAAGAAGTTCAAAGGAAACAAATGTTCAGATCCTGTGTAGAGGTGTGAAAATTACACCCCAACCCTGTTGCTGCACACATGCTATTCAATGTATCTCTAAATCTGACTACACAAACAAAGCAGAAAGACTTAACAAAACAAGAAAAAGAAACAAGAAAGACATTTTTTTTTTAATTTGGTATCACACTGTTTTTGTTGTTTACCAGGTTTGGGTTTTTGTTACTGCAAATGGTTATACTAAACAAGGACAACGGAGGAAAGAATTCTGCAAACACTATTACAATTCTGTTATTTTTAACTTGTGCAATATGTTCCATTTCCATTACATATGATGTGCTCTTTGCTGCATTTGGTTTTAGAGTGTCCTAGAAACATTTTAGTGATGCAAAAGAAGAGTTCCCTCTCTGTCACCTGTGCGACCCTGTAAAGTGAGCGTGTCATGTGTTACGTGTGTGTGTGTGTGTGTGTGTGCAGTTGTTTATTTTGACATGTAGATGTGCAACAAAGACATCAAAACGCAGGAAGTGGAATTTTAGAGGGGAAACCACCACCCACTTAGAGGCACACACGCACGCGCAGATACATACGCACACTAATAAGCAAAGGTAAAACTTTGTACACGAGATAATAAACTCCCCCGCTATGGATGACTCCCCCTCCTGTCAATTATAGCTGCTCTTTGTCAAACTGCCAGTTGCAATATGAGCTATTCATTGTGAAAAGGTCTTTACAATTACCTAAGCAGGCGTCTTTCTTTATCTTGCTCTATTTTTAGATTGGAGTGACACGCCAAACTTCATATTTCATTTCACCTAAGCATGCAGATGTTCGAGTGTACATACTTCACCTGCATCACTGGTGTCAGATTGTTGTCTGACATTTTTATCTTCCTCTCTTTCAGGCACACAGGCCACTGTAGATGACATCAGGACGACAAAATGTATCAATAACCACACAGGCATACACCTGCACACATGTGCGTGTAACCATAAAGGACATGCACATAGACCAAGTCGCAGATAAACATGTGCACAAACACAAGCACACACATCTACTTTCTTTACCCTTTGTGGTAGACAGGCTATAAGTTTCTTGTGGTACAAAGATAGCAGGAACAAATGATGTCACTTATTGGGTGTGTGTGTTTGCGCGAGGTGTAGAGAGTGGGCTCAGATGGGTTGGTCTCTAACCATAGGGCATAACCTTTGACAAAAAAATGTTTGAGACATTCACACCTCAAGATCACAGGTGGGATTGAAAGTCGTTTGTGTATTTTGTGCAGGCAGACTCTCTTGTGTTCTGTATGTGCACTTCTCTTGACCACTTCAGGTAATTTTCTCAAGGCTGCGTTGTGCAGAGAGGAAAATGCTTCGAACCACTTTGTCATTGTTCATCTGTGAAAGCCTATCGTGCTTCCTCTTTCACATTAATAAGACATAAGTATTATTATGAATGCAAGTGTTTCCTCATTCATAAAACTGAAAAGTGTTTTTTTTTTTGCAGGTCCCATGCAAACATAGTATTATCTACCTTTATCATCTCCATCATCATACTCATGAGGATCACTGGGTTTTCTAAGACTATTTTCCTTCAGTTCAGACCATTAAGACCCTAATCACTAGATCTAAATTCCGTTGTGTAGGGCATGTTGGTTTAACTTAATAATTATTTCCCTCCTAGTCATTCCAATACACACGTATCAAGTTAAAATGCTAATAATAAGCTCTGCAAACATCAACTGACTGGAAGTCTGTCACTCAGCGCAAATCGTGACGCTTGTTCGGGAGATCTGATCCCGAACAGGAAGTTACGTTAGACAGAAAATTCTTGTCTGTAAGGACGTTTTTACATTTTATTTTTAACGGCTAGATTGTTGAGCATCCAAAAAAAACCACATATAGCGAAATTAAAGACTTTTGAAAAATCTCTGATTTAATTGCTCAATCTCCGACGCTGAAGAATCTAATCTGTCTACCGTTACCGGTAGTTCCACACAGCAGCAGCAGTAGCAGCAGCAATGGCAGTGGTGCAGTGAGACACATGTCACAACTCTCTGTGAACCAAAAACATTTAAGCTGGAGCCGAGAGAAGACGCTTAAGCAAAATGTCTCGGCACCGAAATGTGCGAGGTTACAACTACGATGAAGGTAGATAGCATGAACAAGGCGTTGATAACTTGAAGCTTCTCAGCTAGGCCTCAAACCACCAAACTGTTAGCTGCTATGCTAAAATCCACTGTTGTTGATTGTAGCTTTAGCAGCTAACGGTAGCTAGTTTAGCTGGAAGATAACGTTGCTGTCGTGTCACTTGACACCTGGCATAATATAAATTGCGATATAACTATATTATCTACCTATACACCAAAGCTTTCAGAGTAACATTATAGTGTTACAACTTGATGGGTTATGTCTATAACGTTAATAACGTGTATGTTACGGTAACGCCAGCTTCTTAGCTCGCTTGCTAACTTCCCAGTGGTTTGATACAAATGTTACGAGCTTCTAATACATTGCTAGATATGTTATAGAGACATCCACTGACCCTAATAACTTAATAAACATCCTAATTTCTAAAACTTACAGTGAAGTAATTGTAAAACATTTCCTGGCTCACAATTTACTATTTGTTAAGCAATCTGTACAATTAGCTGACAAGGCAAAGTAAATGACAGCTGTTTTCTTTTTTTGTTTTTACTGCAAGTGCTTTAGCTGTTACATGTGTAGGTTTATGTAAAGTAGAAAAACAATTGAACCTCAATTATATACATTTGTTTCTAGACTTTGACGATGACGACGTGTATGGACAGTCTGTGGATGATGACTGCTGTATATCACCAGCAACAGGTTGGTACCAGTGAATGCAATATTATGGATCAACAAGAATATATGTTTGGTAATAAATAGACAATATTATACAGAATTAACCAGACATCACATCTCCGAGTTTGAAATCAATAAGTAAATATGTTTGTGGTTTGTACAGCAAATCAGTTCATCTACTCGCGTCAAGATAGGCAAGCACCAAAGGAGGAGCCTTTGGAAGAGGATGAAGAGGATGTACCCATGTCTCCTACCATCAGCCACAGCCTTGACCCTCTCGACCAAGGTAATATTATGAATTCCACGCAGTGGTATGCAAGTGACAAATGACAGAGATCTTTTGAACTTCACCTTTGTGTTTGAAAATGAATTGAAGATCCTGTTGAAAACTAGTTTAACTTTCTGTGTATAACTTATGTGTTTTATTTTATAGCCAAGCTGTATTCCTGTTTGGACCATATGCGAACCGTGCTGGGAGATGCAGTGCCAGACTCAGTCCTGACTGAGGCAGCCATAAGATGTGGATTCGACCCACAGAAGGCCCTGGACGCCGTCCTGTCTGAAGACGCCAAGACAGCCCCGGTTACCAGAAGTACCGGTAAAGACACGGCTTCGGTGGCAAGAGTTAGCCAGGAGAATGCGCCGCTTCCACAAAGAACCAAACAAGAGGCCGTGGCTGAGAAAGGTACGCCTTGAGTGGATCAAATTATGATCATTTTATTGGTTGTGGAATAAAATTAATTAGAAATTGTTGTTGTTAACTGATCCACGTTATTTGCTAAAGAAAGCACAGGATCTTAAAATGTCTTGTCATGTAGCTAGTGATCTAGTTTCCTTTTTAAAGAAACTGCACTCAGTTACTAGTACACAAAATACGGCCAAGTCTATTTGTATCACTTGTTCCATAATTAGAAGTAGTTTGTTCAGTATACATACACACTGCCAGTCAAAATATTTTGAATATGCCACATTTTTGCATTTTAAAACAATCAATATAGTTGGCTTTTAGAGTTGTTCTTATACCGATACCATCATTGGAAATGCCTCCTGTACAACCTTAAATGCTTATCAGCTCATTTGCGCTACAAAGGAACAACAACATTAGCAACATGTGTCACTCGCTACCCGATTCGTACATCCTGGTCGATCGGTACTGTGCATGTGCAATTCTCAACACAGATTAGAAATTAAATAATGGAAGTATCTTAACAAGTTAGCCATCTTGCTTCTTTCTCATCTGTGCTGAAAGTTGCACATGCACAGTACCGATGGGGCAGGTGCTAGCAGAGAGTGTAACGTTAGCCAGAAATAGCGAAATGTCAGCAAATTGGCAATGTTTTACTCTGGAATATCTGTCAAACTAGAAATGTATGAATGCCTGTGGATTCTTCTGAAGGTACTTGATCAAAAGACCATTTTGAATAATGTTAATTAGTTTTGTGTACATGAAAGCTCACGTGTGTGTGACGATGACACATTTTAGCCATGCGAGTGTTTAACAAAGTGCCTTCTTTCTCTTCTTTTCCCTCTTGTTTATGGTACGATTCATCTGACTTCTGTTCTGTGGTCCTCCTGTTTCTCCTCTTCGGCAACTGCAATTGGCTTTCGTAAGGTAAGGAGCTTCTCACAAAGACATTACATGCAATGCACATAAACCCCAGACCGATGGGTGCAAACACACACAACCGCGTCCGCAAACAAGTGCACCAAACCTGAGTGACCTCTTATTGCAACATAAGGCTGACTTTTGGGTTAGCAGCTCTGAAGATGAACATTTTATTCATCAGAACAGTGGTCCAGGTGTTACTTGTGGTGCCAATCTTGCACAGCTCATGTCTGCGCATGAGCAGAAGAGTAAAGCGTCAGGAGCGGTTGACACAGGGCGAGGTTTGGGTGTTCACTCATTAAGTGCCCTCACAATGGGACCTAATTCCCCACTGTCCATTGTGCCTAACCAGAATAGTCTTTCATTGGGAACGTTGGCGTCTTTAAGCATGACTTCAGCATCTCACAGCTCTGCTCCCCCCCTCCTCTCAGTGTCACTCGGTAGTCTGTCGCTAAACAACCCCAAGATAACAACTGCAAGCTCTCCTCTGGCTGCTCCTCCCGGGTTCAGAAGTCTCAGTTCTGTCCTATTGTGCAATCAGCACTCCGTGGGAGTTGGGAATGGCGGCAAAGCCGCAATGGCTGATCCTAAGGGAAGCCCATCATTGGCTGATTTAATGCAGGAACATTCAAACCGCAGCCCAACCATCAGTAACTCCTCTCACGCTCCCCAAAGCGGCATATCTTCTGTGACGTATCAGGGGGGGGCTGCACCAGCACAAACATTCTCGCTGTCTGGGCTTGCTTCACAGCACCAAAACAAGAATACGCACATTCAATCGCAAACACAAAGCACTGAACAACCGGCAAACTCGCTCACCTTTTCTAAACCAACCAACAATACTCGCGAATGCCTAGCTGGAACCGCCTCATTGTCTCAGCTGGCCTCGCAGCATCAGCTCAACAGTTCCTTAACTTTCCCTCAACCTGTGAGCGTTGAATCTCCAGGAAATGCACCGAAACAACCACCTGGCATCTCTGAGCTGCTCTCTTTGTCACAATTTGCATCTGAGCACAAAGACAAAACCTCAACTACCTCAAATGGGTCACAGTACTCCCTCACCTCGCTCCTTTTACCAGCAAAACCAGAGAGGGCTGGTGTGTTAGCAGAAAGTACTGAAGAGGGTGGGACCAAGTGTAAGCTCGACCACAGACCATACCACCGAAACATCAGGTCACCGAAGATGAAGCAGACTATTGATCTGAGTGCACTCATGGCCCAGTCAGATGGAGCAGGCCCTCGGCACTTTGACAGCGACCCCCTCTCACCGTCCTCTCCAGATTCAGTTGACGTGGGGATGGACTCTTCCGTGTTTGCACAACCATCAGTATTTGCGATCACTTTGTCGATTCAGAGCCACAGGCAACAGAAGAGGGTGAGGAATAAGCTGAAGTGGAAAATAAGAGGTCAGAAGACAGGAAGTGGTTCCCAGGCTTTCCTGTGTAAATCCCAAGATGAATTCCAAGAGCAGCATGTGCCACTCCCGCCGATTGTACCATTCCGCTTCGACGTGCCTTCACCTGACGACATCGTCCGCACTAATCAGCGAAAAGCTTTCACCAGGTAGACGAGTGGAAACAAATGGCTCTTAATTCAGCTGCGTCCAGGTTGGGGTGAAATGAACTCACTTTGGATGAGAACCTCAGATCTTTTTGGTGGTCTTTCCTCCACCAACTGAAGTAATCTTAAAAAGATGCAGGACTCATCATCAATTTTTAAAACTTTGTCCCTCATGAGGAGTGAAGAAACTTTTGGGACCAACAAAGACTGACAAATGACAAACTCACTGCTGAAAAATAAACTCTGCCAGAAACCGTATTACTACAACACTTCTTTTTTTTTTTTTTATAGCGGCATGCTAAAAGTCTTAAGTTGCTACTATATACAGATAAATAATGTTTCTTAGTCTCTCTGGCAGCTTGAAAATAATCACAGCTAAGTTACAAATGGCAATAAGTATTTTAAAAACTTTTAAAAATGTTTTTTTCTCATTTACTGAAGTTATTTTTTCTACCTTTTTTAAATTTGAGTCTTATTTTTCTATGCTTAGATAGTCATTGGCTTTTTAATTTACATTTTTTTTGTAAAATAGTGTAATCTTACCCGGGGAACATTTCAAGTACATCTCTTTCTGCATGGCCTCGTTTCTGGTTTTGATCTGCATGAACCCTCAAAACGAGAAAGAGGTTGATTTTGTTTGCAGGTGTGCTGCAGCTATTGGAATATGGATCAGTTAACCATTGTTCTGGTTTATTGCTGCCTGGGTTTGAGATCATGGGGTAGACATTTTGGTTTAGAGGACACCTGGAGATTTTCCCATGAGGGAGTGAGAACAAACGCATGCCACAGACACACACACACACACACACACACACACACACACACACACAGAGAGACAGACAAGTGAATCCTTTTAGTGTTTGATATTGAAAAAGAGTTTACTATGAATTCAGGCACTGAATAAAGATAGAACTGAATGAACGAAAAATGAATGCCTTCAGACTTGAGGTAAACGGGGGTTTTCTTGCTCTTACAACCTTTTAACTTTAGGATGCGCAAATGAGTTTGATTCAGTGGGTGTGTCATGACACTCTGCCAGAGGTTAATTTGTCCAATTTTGAAATAAAAATGACTGAATGTACGTTCTCCGAATGCACCTGTGTCTGGGTGTGTCTCTGTGGTTGTGTGTGTGCTTTTGTGTGTCTGAGTGTAAAAATGATCTTTTTAGGGTTGTTGTATTAAACTAATTCTACATAACCAGTTAAACCGGTGCTCTATTCTCTGTTCTGATCTAAAATATGAGTAGAGTATGTATGTTTGTACAGTAGCAACTCTTTATTGTAATAAATATTAATGAGTTAAATAGAAGGCATGCTCTGCAGTATGTATCTGGTGCAGTGAATGCTTTTTTTTTGTGTAGGGCAGCCCAGGGTTTTTTTTAGGAAACTTTTGAGTTTGAGTCATTAGTATTGGTTTGAATGGCGAAACTTGCCCTGAAAGAAATGCATGTTTAGGACTTCAGATTGGACAAGGACTGGTTAGATGGTAGGTAGATAAACTTTCCAATACTGTTGAGTCATTTTCTTGCACTGCCTCATTGTTTGCATAAATGTGAGAACGCTCTTTGAGTGAAGTAGGGGGTTTGGCTAGATGTGCGTAAACTTTATACAGGTGCAGAGAGCTGAGTGAAGTGAACCCTCAGGGTGGCAAACAGACTGCTGAGCCTGAGGGGAGAACATAGTCAACGAGGAGCAGATAGTGGAAATAATGACAAGTCAAACATTTAGAAGTCAAACGGGTTTCTCCGTGTGCGAGCAGTCCTGGGAGTTTGGAAATAATATGGTTTATTAGGGATGTTGTGGTGTGCTTTGTGAGTGAAGATATGTATCATGGTACAGCGCGTTTGGATGTGAAAATCTTGAAATGAATAAGTCTTATTAACAAGTGGGTTTGTCCGGCAACTGTTTCGTCCTTTCTCTCTCTCTCGAGGCGGGCCAGTGTGTGGGTTTGAGCAGGAAGCTGCACTCTTGGAGAAAATGTCACCGACTCGGCGTAGCAGCCGATCGTCTCACTCTCTGTGTGTCTCACTCGCCACCTACGTAGGAAAATCTGATCATGTCTCTCGACTTTCACAGCTTTTGTCAAAGGCTTTGTCAGATCAAATCATTTTGTGTCTTTACAGGCTCTGCAGCTCTGCAAGGCGTACATGTTGCACAAACATAGCGCTTTATGTGATGTGGTGCCAATACTGGAAAATACCATTTTACTCACAGCAAGTGGTCAAAAGAATGCGGGTGCATTTAGATTGACATGCCATCGGTGCTACTGCTTTGTTGTGGTGTGATTTGTTTGAGAGAGAAACAGGATTCCTTATTCAAATGGAAAGTTGCATTCTTGTTACAAGAAATACAAGAGTTGACTTCTAGAGCGGTTGAAGGCACAAACACTCCTGAACAAGCGTATTAAGCAGTGATGTGACCGTCTGCAGAAGCCATGCGCAGTCTGGTTCATTTATTATCTAAATGTTGTGGTTGTGCAGCCTGAATCAAAAATCCTGGCTATGACAGCAATAATGTTTTTTAATGGAAGTGCAGAAATATCTTGTCGTGGATCGGTTTGGTACCGATCTGTATAGTAGAATTCGCCTGTTTGTTTTGCATGTTGGAAGCTAAGTTGGAAGCTAAGTTGGAAGCTAAGTTGGAAGCTAAGTTGGAAGCTAAGTTGGAAGCTAAGTTGGAAGCTAAGTTGGAAGCTAAGTTGGGAGCTAAGTTGGGAGCTAAGTTGGGAGCTAAGTTGGGAGCTAAGTTGGGAGCTAAGTGTACATGACGAGTTGTCTTCGAGCGATTCCACCGATTTTCATTTTGTTTTCGGCTGTGGTAGAAATCATTCCCTCATCAGCTGTTCCCGACATAACAAACACTTGTAGTGTAGTTTAGCAGCAACGTTGTTAGCTGTGTGTCTGGCTGGCATTCTCTGTCAGGGTTTCCTCTAATGTATTGCAACCTTGGCGTAATGTTAAGAGTATCCGGTGCTAATTTGAGCATCTAGCATGTGTAGAGAGACACCCCTTTGAATTGTCTTTGCTTGATGCAGACATGATGAACAGTATGATCATGACGGTTCATGACTGTCATGTGAACTTTGCACAACAGTAAAGACTAACAAGCGGAACAGGAAAGCAACTAACTTAATTCACAGCATGGTCACATTGTGTTGAGCCTCTAAAATGAAACGCATCGCACAACTCCGATCCAGTGTGCCGGGCTTTACTCACCTAACACTTCTTTTGTCCATCTTGCCTTTTAGAGATGTTCCGATCCCTTTTTTTCCTTCCCGGTACCGATTCCAATACCTGAACTTGCGTATTGGCCGATCCCGACCCGATACACGTGCGTTTAAAAACAAACAGAAGACTATATTATTATTTTTTAACCACTAACTATGTATGGATGTGATTTAGATTGCTATCATTGTTGTGTCGCCTGGCTCAGGTTAAAGCCGTTGTAAAACATGAACAAATACATACAGCGAAAAGAACCTTCGGTAGCACTTATACTCTATGACGCCCATGTCTATGATGAAAAACATACTTATAATGTGTTATAATCTGCATACAGCACTATATAATCATAGTTAAAAGTTGTAGTTAAAAGCTGAGTTGTCAAATGTGAATTAAGTTGAACTCTTTTTGGTATATCCATCCATCGGTGGGGTTTAATCCTAAACGTATACCGTGTCAGGTGACTTCACTTCATCCTATCTGGTGAACTTCACCTTTATATAGGACTCGGTATCATTTAAATCTTCATACTTTGTTCCTTTTGTTCCCTGAAGATTCAACCAGACAAAACTAATCCCAAACCTTTACAGACTTATTGACCCAAACTCGGATACAACACTTAAATCAGTTAAAAGGTTTTCCCCCTTCTTTCCCCCCACTGTAGTCCTATGAAGATTTGAGTTAAATCAAACACAATTTTTTACAGCCTTTAGCGGCCTCAAGTGGTAGGGAGCCTCTATCAATATTTTATACACATAATTCTCATTTTGTTATTGGCATGACCATCAAAGCAGTTGTTTTAAATAACCCTTGTTATTTTACTTCTGCTCTGTTACTCTGACCTGCATGCTTGTGTGTTTGGATGGGTGGTAAGGGGGGGGGATCTTGATATTTGCATATCCTGGGCGGACTCCCTTTTATCCTGTGCTCAGTTGGGCCCTCAGGCCAAGGTGTAGAGATGACTCACTCGTCTCACTCGCTGCATGAGTCCCCTCTTCCTGAGAAATCCTGGCTGAGAGGACACCAACTGTTTACCTGCCGGTCCAAACAGTGTAAAGAGATCCTGCTCTAAGTAAGCCTCACAACCTGATTGCACTGTATTGCTGCCCCCAGGCCTGCCCCAAAAAAAAGATCTGGCAAGTCAGTTGTTTGCAAAGGTATTACAGTGTTTTGAGTCCGGTAGTTAGAAAATAGGTTGTTTACTATGCAAGAACTTTGGCGAGTTACGAAGGGTGTGTCTGTCTGTTTCAACACAGGTTAAGATGAAAGTGAATAAAATACAACCATCATGTGCTTAATAATGATGCACATTAGGGACGTGTAGGTTCAATTAGCTGATCCTAGTGACCATATTGGATTGGATGTGATCTAATTGTTTCACAGCTGATATAAGTATATTTCAGGCTGGCTGATGTCCTGTTTGACACAGGTGGTAGAAACCTCCTCGTCACTGTAATAAGGACATGAAAAGCCCCCCAGCTGCAGGAAGAACCAGAAATTCCCCCGAGAGGTCTTTCGCTATCTCATGTTGCCACTTACTGCAGGGCAGAAAACACTCCAATGATGCAGCTTTCAGTGACGACAGTGGTGTTACAGACGTAGAACTGTTTTTAGCTTTCTGCTGTGATCTTTTTAAATTACTACCTTATCCACTTTTCCCAACTTTTGAATTGATAAGGATCAGTGTGTGGGAATAAACGGCATGCAATATGTCATTATTTTAAAAAGAGGATCAAAGCCTCTTCAGGCTGCAGTGAGCTGCCTCACTTGTGAATCTGTTTCAGAATGAGAGGGACTTTTTCTCTAATGCAGGACCAGTCATTCACAGAACGTGCTGCGAGAGAAAGTCCATTAATAATTCAGTTGAATCGCATCTCCTTTCCTCTCATTTTCCCTCAGGGGTATTTTTTTTATGATGAATAAACCACATTATGCATACAAGGGATTAGTATGCTTTCAAAATTGCATGCTTAACCAAAGCTGTAAGATGAAGAAAGTACATTTGTACACCTTAAAAAGTCTTCAAAGACAAAGGGAACTAACTTCTGAGCAGTGTTTGTCTTGCTTTTCTTTCTTGATCAAGGTCCTAGGACCTCAATGTTTTATTGTGTGGGAGTTTGGGGTGTGTTGTGGATGTCTCTTATTGCATATATGAGCAGGGTTTTTTAAATACGTCGTGCGTGTGCGATAATACACATTCACCTCCAGCCCTGCACTTTGCTAAAGTGACACCTTTTTTCGGAAGATTCATTCTGTGAAATGCTTCGTCACACTGTTCTATTTACGTGGAGATGGGGAGGCAACGGCCACTTCTGATATTAACCCTCTCAGAACCTGGATGTCACTTCCCCACACACATGCACACAGATGCACACGGGGTGCAGTTGGCTTGGCTGTGCAACCCGGTCTAAATGAATCAGTCGCAGGTTGATATGACTGGGACCGGTGGCCATTTGGGACTGGGATGACGAAGCAATGACCTCAGCAAGTCTCACTGCTGCAGAATATGGACCATCAGTCAGATCGATGGATGCTCAGAGAGCAACTGATTGCATCACATGCTCACACAGAATATATATACCTTCTATGCCAGTAAGACACATGGCTATGACCAGGACAATAGTCATATCCTCTGGATGTCTCAATGAACACCACATGGCCAACCATTGCTGAATAAGCTATGTTAGAATATTACCAGGTATTTTATGTAACTATTTAGCAGATGCACGCAGGCAAGAAACCCTTCAGTCTTACCATGGGTATGAAGGATACGTAGCGACTGTCACCAATTCGTATAAATCGCCTCGATGCCCTTTTTAAATAGGAAAAAAATGTAACATTTCATTGGTATTGTTCACAGTGGGTCATCAGGATTGCCTTTGTTTCTGAGGAGGTGTACAGTTTCGCTCCTCTCTTCCCTGTAGCTAAAAGCAGAGATGTCGCTCACAATAAACTGGACTCTGAAGTGGTACCCAAAGTGGCCCGCATGACCGTCTCTGGCAAGAAGCAGACCATGGGCTTTGATGTCCCCAGGTACCTAACACACAGGCCTCTGTCTATTTACATTGTAAATCATTTAATCTTTGCAAATTACTAGTTATATTTGAAATGAAAAGCAGTGAGGGCTTTAAATTTGGATGAGCTGTGAACCTGAGTTGTGTGTGTGTGTGTGATCACCCGAATCTAGATATGCAACTTTCTTGTTTGTGGAATATATCCGGACTACGGAAGATGCATACCGGCATGATCATGATCTGTGCAGAAGATGTTCCACCGTGATGAAACTCATCCGTATTCTCTCCTCAGCACAGCGGAGAACGGCGTTGTCGCCGCTTCGGTACGCCGTGGTGGCAGCCCTGAAAACGGCACCGCCACCGCTGCCTCAGAGGCCGCGTCCAAGCGTCCCGGGACTCCGTCTAAAGGGTCAAATGGAGAAGAGCCCTCCACGGTTCCCACCCCGGGCCGCTCCGCTGGAAAGGCCCGGCAGACGATCAACATCAAAGCTGAACTGGAGAAGAGGCAGGGGGGCAAACCTCTGTTAAATTTGGTGGTTATAGGTAGGAAGAAAAATACATTAAACCACTCATAAATTCATATTTCAGTTAATAGAACGTCAAGGGATCAGCATAATAACAACAAGGGATGCAAAAGACATTCTGCACAAATATGATGTGCAGATGAAAAAACTAAATTATGCTCTATTCAATCCTCATACTACTACATTGATCGACAGTTAAATACAAAGAGGAAGTAGTCTTCATTTATTGAGCAATATACAGTACAGTAACATTTAAGATAAGATGCAGCTAGAGTATAACATGGAGGAACTTATTTAGAAATACAGTAACAACATTTTGGGAGTTAATTATTTTTATGAATTTTTCAACTTTCTGCAATAAATTCACATCAAAATATCCAACATTTGTTAAAAGTACAACATTTTCTGGACTGTCACTTTTAAACTTGAATCGTTTCATGCACACGTCTAAGTTTAATAGTAGTGAATGTATTGAACTGCAGACCAGTGCAGTTGCTCAATCATGATGTCTCATTCTCAGTTACACCAGAAAAGGTGACTTGGTAGTTTCATAAGTACAGATGATTGTAGTTTCCCACAGCCTGTGAAACCTTTCGTGTCACCACGTTTATCTCCCTTCCCCCCCTATCACCCTCCATCCTTGTTCCCATTGCTGTCTACCTTCTCTCCACTTGAGCAATGCTGCTTCTTTCCTTCTCCCATCCGTGGCTTCCCCTTTGCAATATCTTATCTTCTCTCTTCCCCTACCTGTTTTATCACTCTTGTTACATAATCCTCTGTCCTGACCCATCCCTCCCTGGTGTCTTCTATCCCTCCCCACACTCTGACCTCCTTTTTATCTTTCCCTCTACAGCCCTAACTCCTCCGCATTATTCCATTCTTCTCCTCCGCAGGTCATGTG